AAACCCAACAAAATTCAAGAAAAGTTGCCATAGCTGATCTGTAATAGGACAATGTAGTAACAGATGTCGATTATTCTAATTCTACTCAATATCTATGTCAAACTGCCCCTTTAAGGCAGGGCCCTCATTTTTTCTGATGTCCTTTCCTTGTCATAGTCACCATTGCTTTGTTTAATCTTTGAAAGTACTAGGGAAACTTGCTAAATACTTTGAACACACTCAAGTGTGATACATACTTGTATGGTATGCATACCTAAGTCCTTGCTTCATCTTTCCTGGTTATAGTTAGACTCTCTCTCTCTCTCTCTCTCACACACACACACACACACACATTGCCATAATTGCTTAATAATTCTTCAACGACTTTTCAGGTTGAGCCGAAGCGCCAGAAGAGGTAGGCGTGCTGTAGTAAGATGGATGAAGCTAGTTTTCTTTTGGATTTTGTACAGTGCAGTGAACTGGAACTATGTTCTTTGCATAGATTAGCTGGTATCTGTTATGTCTTCCTTATCAGTAGTTCTTGTATGTACTAGATTGGAAGACAGCTCTTTAAAAATACTCTCTTAGATTAACAAGACAGTCTTTTGAATTTGAATCCGACATTTAGTGTGAAAGCATCGACATGTCATCTTACTATGCTTAGAATTTAGACACTGGATGATATTATTCCCAGCATACTACCCGTTGAACAATCTTTAAACCAAAACTTTTTTTTTGACAGTGGTTAAGCAGCTTACTGTTTTGATGTAAGACATCTAGGGAAATGCTAATTATCAAGGAAAAAGATATATTATTAAAAACAGACCCTTGGAATTGCTATTTACTTCAGTATAGTACTCCTACTTGCAATACTTGTTTCGAACTAATCATTATCAGGGATCAATTAGATCAAATTTTGAAATAAATGCTTGGATATGAGATTAAATTGGCCTTTTGAAAGTAAAATGAAAAAAGCCCCTCTAATTGACGTGTTGTTGAACCGCTGTCAAGGGTATTTAGAGGAAAGGAGAAATTAGGACAATGCTAAGATACTATAGCCATGTACTAGTATATCGTTAAGATTAAGTTTTAGGCATGTTCATATGTTTACTTTAGGTCCCAAATGTCTTCTAGGAATCCTTTGGTCTTCTCAAAAATTTATATGCCAGTAAATAATAAAGAGAACTTCTAGTGTTCTTTTATATAATGTAGTAGATAAGCTTAAATAGATGGATGTACAAAGTGAAAATTAATATAGATTTCAACTTGCTTCGGATTGAGGTGAAGTTATAGTATGGCAATTAAGGGTGTACATAGGTCGGGTTTGGTTGGGATTTTTCAATTACCATACCAAACCAAACCAAACCAAACCAAACCAAACCAATTGTCTCGGATTTCTAAATTTATAAACCAAACCAAACCAACAAAAGTCGGGTTTTTCAATCACGTTTTTTCTCGGGTTTTTCTGTTTTCTCGGATTTTTCGGGTTTTCCCCGACAAAATCTTCATAGCATAAATTTTATAATTTGTACNTTTATTTTTATCATAATATAGAATTAAATTAGTACTTGTGCAGATAATTAAATTATGCTTCTTTTGTTTAGTGCAATATTCTTCAATAATCTGCGTAATTGAGGAAGAAGCAAGAGCTGTGCATCACAAAGTAAATGATATAATCAATTAAATTTTCCAAAAAGTAGTACTTAATTAAATCTTTGTTTTCAAGCATGATTCCTCTTCTGTGCTATTTCCTAGAAGCAACATGACCCTTGAATGCTACCCAAGAAATGAAGACAGAAAAATATAAATACTTCACTTGTTACTACATATTTATTTTGCATTTTGTCAATTTATAAAAAATACAATTCTCCATACTTCATCCCCCTTTTGTATATAATTTATCATACATAGACATTTATCTTTCACCATGTGACATTCTTGTTCAATAACTCTTCAGTTAAGCTACTTTACCTTTCTTTGTATCTAACAAGTTAATGTGGGATGCCTAACCTTCCCCTCGAGATAACTTGAACCCTTACCTAGAGTCTCAATTGGTTTTCCAGTCCATAATTTAGTGTATATTATATAGTGTAGTATATGTGTCCTAGTATACCTTAAATACTAGGTGGAGAATCTAAACTCCCATTAACCTTGTAGAGTACTATACGTTTTACATTGTTTTGACTTGTGCAAAATAGGGTGCAGCAATATGGCGACTCTGTTGGGGATTTTTCAGGTTCTAACNGTTTCCTTTGTACACCCCTAATAGCAACCTCATATATTTCGAAGAGCGGAGATCAGGCTTAAATGAAGTTGCTATTTGTTTCATTTACAAGAAGTCTTGATGAAGAATTATACATTCGTTTGCCCTGCAAAATACACATTTCTCTCCTAGCAAAGCCAATCCTAGTCTCTCCTATTCTACGGGCAAATTATTTGTATTTGCAGTTTTAGAGATTTTATACTACGTAATACTTATATAGCTAATAGAGCTGAGCTTGTAATAAAATCCTAGTCTCATACTATGTAACGGTTTTTCACGTCGACTTGTACTTACGTTACTCGTTTACAGGTTATTACAGCAAAGAGCTAAAAAGCTTCTCTTACCAAATTAATTAACTATATAAAGAACAATCATATGGAGACTACGAAAGTAGAACAGGAAACTAAAATGAGTATCATTTATCATGATAGTAGCATATAGTATACTACTAAATATTGAAAATAATAGTTACTAAATGATTAAGTAATTCTTGAAGGTTGTCTGAGATGTTGAATATATTTTATAACATGGTTAATTAATCTAGAATGGATGTATACCTAACTGATTAAATTGATCATATACATAAAAATGAGAACATGTTATTTTCTTTCAGAAATTAAATAAATAATTTTGTCTTTGTCATAGAATTATACGAGCATGCTTTCCGAACCTCCTTGTGTGTAAATTCTTCTTTAATTGACGCAATTTGGATAGATATAACTGTAAAGAAATTGTAATTGAATTATTTTCCTTCAAAGGTGATTCTTTCCCACTTATGGCCAGTCAATTTTAAGTAAGTTTTCCTTTTCTTTTAGCCCATCACTCAAAATAGTTTATCTCTAGACATAAATCAAATTCCTCCAAGTGCATTCTTTAACTACAATTCATCTAGTTAATTTACAAAAATACTTCACTTGTTACTACATATTTATTTTGCATTTTGTCAATTTATAAAAAATACAATTCTCCATACTTCATCCCCCTTTTGTATATAATTTATCATACATAGACATTTATCTTTCACCATGTGACATTCTTGTTCAATAACTCTTCAGTTAAGCTACTTTACCTTTCTTTGTATCTAACAAGTTAATGTGGGATGCCTAACCTTCCCCTCGAGATAACTTGAACCCTTACCTAGAGTCTCAATTGGTTTTCCAGTCCATAATTTAGTGTATATTATATAGTGTAGTATATGTGTCCTAGTATACCTTAAATACTAGGTGGAGAATCTAAACTCCCATTAACCTTGTAGAGTACTATACGTTTTACATTGTTTTGACTTGTGCAAAATAGGGTGCAGCAATATGGCGACTCTGTTGGGGATTTTTCAGGTTCTAACCACAACGAACTTGATCAATTAATTGAGGGATTACATGTTCTCCAATACTCCAATTTATATTCTTTATGTCACGTGTTTCAAGTCATATATTCTTCGCTTTAAAGGTGCATATTCTCTGCTTTAAGTGGTATGTTCTTTGTTTCAAGTCATATATTCTTCGCTTCAAAGGTGCATATTCTCTGCTTTAAGTGGTATGTTCTTTGTTTCAAGTCGTATGTTCTTCGTCGCATGCTTCAAGTAGTCTATTATTTTTCATGCGCTTCAAGCGGTATATTCTTTGTTATTTGCAGGGGCGTAGGCAGGATTATTCTTAAGCGGTGTCGATATTTAAGAAAATGAATAAATTAAAAAATACAGTTCGAATCATATTAAAAAAAACTATTAATACAACTCTCCTCGATGAGTATTTATTTTTTTAAACTGAATTCGTCATTTTTTAGTTCTATTTAGTATCCTCATTAAAAATTATTTCCAAATATCTCTTTTTTTTTCTATAAAAGCATCAAATAATTACTCAAAACCTTATCATTCACATGATTTTGCAAATTGTTCTTAAACAACCTCTACACACAAAAAAAAAAAACATGACAACTAACATTGGACTAGCATCCTAGAAGTTAATATAAGAGTAATCTTTAATAGATAGGGCACAAAATTCTTAAAATAAAAAACGTATGCTGTTGGTGGGGTTTGTACTCACGACCTAAGAGAAGCAAAAGATGCACTTAATCACGTGAGCTGACGCAGTATTAAGTTCAAGCAGTATCATGTTTTTATTTATTATCTACATATATTATTTTTGCATATTAATAACATATTTAGTGTGCATCCGCCCCTGGTCATTTGCCTCGAGTTGTATATTCTTTCACTACAACATAATGCATTTATAGTTACAAAACACAGCGTAGTAAATGATGAAAATTTTCGTGGCTAAACACTCTAGCTACAATATTTTTTTTCGTAGCACTCGTAGCAAAATGTAGCGTAGCTAAAAGTTAGCTACAAACTTTACATGGTCCGTGGCTAAGGATTAATACCTATTGCTACGAAATTTTTGTATTGTAGCTATATATATAGCAAATAGTTTTATACTTTTGCCACGACAAATACATTTATAGCAAATGATTTTATACTCTTGCCACGACAAATAAATTTGTAGCTATCTTTATATGGTAGCCACAAAGTGTTATAGCGTGGCAAAAGATTTAAATTTATTTGCCATGAAAATTTAGATATATAACTGCTTTAATATAGTAGTCCGTGTCAAAAATATTTTTATTTAGCTACGGACTAAAAGTTCCATTGCTACAAATCATACAGAAGTCGTGATTAGATTATTTTATTATATTTTAATTTTTTGACAAAAAAGTTAATTTATTATAGTGATAGTTCCTCCCACAAATCCCCTGTTTCTTAGTTATTTGATATTTTTGTAAATTTTCTTAGCTATTCTGTGGATGTGCATAATATATTAAAACTAATAACATATTAAGCTTGAATAATAACTTATTCTGCACAAATTGACATTTAAAAATTTCCACAAAATAAACTCCAAAATACACTTTTGTACTAATCAATTAATAGAATCTGCAATAAATAAGTCTTCTACAATAACTAAAATATGTAGAAAAGAACTAGCCAATGTGAGGCTTGATTGTAACAGAGATAAAAAATAATGTACAGAATTTCACATTAAATGAATAAGTATTTGCTTGATGATTCATGTGGCCACCCTCATTGCATCCTTGGTCTTCATGCATCCAAGAATATATGAAGCACTTTCCGTAATCATTATACTGAAATAATGAAATAACATGATCTTTGAGAAACTTATATTTGAATTATCAAAATATATATCGATTTAAATACTTGTACAATTAGTAATTAAAAAAATTTAATAAATTAGGGAATAAGAAAATACTAGCCATGAATCAAGTGAAAAAATTCTAAACTCTTTTCAACACAGAATACAAAAGAAAACGCATTTAAATAAATATCATAAACTTAAGGAGATGAAAGAAAGAAGTAAAGCTCACAATTTGGCATTAGAAGAGATTG